GCCGATGTGACCCCAGGGACACAGGGGAGATCTCCTCAGGGCAAAGGAGTGAGTCTGCGCTACTGATGCAGGAGCCCTGGGGCAGGACTGGGGAAGTCTAGGGGGAGTGCAGGGCCAGAGGAGGACACACCCTGAGGCTCCTAGAAAGGAGGTACCTCTCTTCCTGTGATTCCTGGGAGGGGGACTACCTGGTGAGGAAAGGAGAAGGCGGAGTCCGTGCTAGATGACCTCAGCCTCCCCACCAGCTAACGGCCAGGCTGTGTGCAGACAGAAGCGCTGCAGGGCTGCTGTCAGGGACTCCAGTCAACAAAAGAGAGAGAGAGGCTAGCCGGCTCCAGCTTCCCTGGAAATTGGCAGCTGTAGTGAGGGCAGATGCACCTGGAGAGCACCAGGAGAAGCTGGAAGTCACCTGCCTCTCTCGGCAGCTTGGCCGCATGCTCCCCTGGCCGGCCTACAGGAGGCTCTTCCACCAGCAGCTCGGCCCCCTGACAGGGGCGTGTGTCACGCGGGGAATTGAGGTGCTCACTGTGTCCCCAAGGCAGAATTGGAGAAAGCACATTGGAGTGTGTTGCACCTAGACCTGGCTGAGCTGGCTTCTGGGGGCTCTTGGGGTCCGCCCTATAACACTGCTAAAAGCCCTTCCTTTTGCAGATTCTCAGCTAAGATCTCCGGGTGTCCGGGTGGGCCTCAAAGCTGATCCTCCACCAGGCTCCGCTTTGGTGCAGAGAGATGCAGATTCAGATCCTGGCTCTGCCACTTACGTGACTTTGGACCAGTTATTTAATCTCTTGAAAGCTCAGTTTTACTTTTCTTTCTTTGGGGTTGTTTTGCTGTTGGGTTTTGTTGTTGTTGTTGTTGTTGTTATTTATTGTGCTGTTGGAGAGTAAACCTAGAGTTTCACATATGCAAGGCAAGCACTCTACCACTGAGCTACATCCCCAGCCCAGACTCAGTTTTGAGCCTGTAGAAGGGGAATAATGAAACCTCTTTTCCAATGTTATTGTAGAGACTGGATGATTGCAGTGTACAAAGCAAAGTTGTAGTATAGTGTTCGGTGCACAGAATTTGCTTGATGAAAGGTAGTGTTGCCTGGTGCTTATTTAGAGCCCCATTGGTGTTGGGTGCTAACCAAGATTCTTAAAAATGTTTCCTGAGCTAATGTAATCAAAATTACCTTGAGTTAGACTTCTTTTCTAGATTTCTATAGCAAAATAATTCAATCTCATCATTAAAGATTAAAGTTCAGGGAGAATTTGTTTTTCTTAAATTAGTTCACAAATCAAAACTGTTCTCTGGAACCTCTTACGTTGACTTTTCTCAAGAAAATTTTCTAGATACTGTCTATAATCTGAATATCCAGTGAAATGGAGATCCTCCTGTGCAGAAGGCTGGGAAAATAATGCTTACCCAGATGTCCACAGCTCTCAGATGCTCTGTACTACCCCTTTGCATAGTAATGTCTTCTGTGTTCAGATCTGCCTTCATCTGTGTCTTGCCTTTGGTTCATTCTGCTGAGAAATAATAAATTCTCCCAAGCTTGGTTCCATAGGACACCACAGGGATCCTCATCCAAACTCAGCATCGCTCTGGCGTCCTCAGGCAGAGGGTTGTCCCTGCCCACCCTGCCCCACATCACACAGGTGTTTCTTTGGGGGTTTTATGATTGTTTAAGAAGCTTTAGAATTATGATGTGCAGGGCCGGGGATTTAGCTCAGTGGTTCTGCCGCCTGCCTTGCCCACCTGAGTTTGTTCCCCGGTACCAAAGAAAAAAAAAAGAACTATGATGTGCAAAGCCTTATGAACAGTCGTTACCCCATCACTGATGACTGCAGTTTCCCTCCAGACACCATGAATCTTCCACATGTTATTACTTTACTGCAATAGCTGAGTTTTGGTTGGAGAAGACAGTCACTGCAAAGAGAACACTAACCAGTGTTATCTTTTAGAGGGACATCTCCAAAGATAGAAGAAAGCACATCTGAGGGACCAGTTATTCACATACTGAGGGATTTCTAGTAGCAAACTACTAGGGTGCAGGTGGACAGTGTATGCTCAATAGAAATATACTGCTTGAAACCGGGAAGTAAATTTTTAAAATTTTTCTTTTTATGAGTGTTTGTAGCACATAATGGTCATAGTCCTTGTGGGGAGTTGGTCCATGTACATAACACATCTGAATTATTTTTTACCCCTTTGCCTCCCTCCCTTCACCCTCCCTCCGTCTCTTGTTCCCCTTTTCATTTGCAAAAGATCTATCTCCCTGTTTCCCATTATCTATCTTTTATTTTGCTCTTTAGTTTATTTTTACTTTGGATTTCTCATGTAAGAGAAAGCATAATATGTAAGCTTGTATGTTTGATTTATTTCACTTTGCATTATGGTCTCAAGGTGCCTCCATTTTCCTACAGATGAATCAAGTTTATCCTTCTTTATGGCACAGTAGTTGTGCATTGTGTATAAATACTGTATTCTCTTTATGCATTTATCTGTTGATCAATATATAGGCTGAAGATTTATCTGTTATAATCTTTGATGCTCTAAACATGAGCATGCATGGATCGCTGTAATATGATGTCTTTAACTCTTTGGGGAAGATACGTAGAAGGGGAACAGATGGATCAAATGGAATTTCTAGTTTTAGTGTTTTGAGGACTTTCCATAGTGGTTATATTAGTTTACATTTCCACCAACAAAAGAGAAGGATTCCTTTTCCCTCAGCAGCCACACCACCAGCATTTATTATTATGTGATTTCTTGTGATGGCCATTCTTTCTAGGGTAAGGTGGAAGCCTGAAGTAACATTTAGCGAGATTCATTTAATGCTTAGAGAATGACATGTTTGAGAAATACAAAATTGAAACAATGCTAAGAATGGAGCCCATTTATTTTCTCCTCAACTGATGAAGAGAAAAAAATGGGAGGCAGACCTGAGTGGGACCAAAGGTGGAATCTTGAAGGCGAGATTGGATTGGTAAGGTCCTTCTTTAGCCCACTCAGGGTATTTTATGGAGCCAGCATTGCCAACTAGCAGAGATAAGAACACAGAAAGCCCTATGCCCAGGAGAAGCCTGGTGCAGCCTGGGGAGTTTCAAAAATCAGAGCCAAAAAGAAAAAAAAAATCTCATTTCTCCCATTAAAAATGCAATCTTCATTGTTGCTTATTCCTCCATGATGCATAATTCTACTCCCTCTACTCTAATTTCCTTTCCTAATCTAGATATATTGTGTATGCTTTTGCAAGCTGTTACACAATTTGTTATTCAAATTCAAACACATGTTGTGAGTAAACTAGCAAATTTGTAGAGGATTTCATCTTGAAATTTCCAATTGACCTGCCCAGCCCTCTTACGTTAAATGCCATGATTGCTATGTCCTCAAGTTTTGTTCCTCAGAATAAGAGAAAAGTTTTCCTAAGATATGGAGACATTTGATGCCCATCACTTAACAGAGAAAATGCTATCATCTAACCAGAATTTCAGCTGGAGCAACTTTCGGCATCATCTGGTCTATCGCCACATAATTACATCTACCTGAAACTTTTCCTGGCCTAAGAGATATAAATAAGTTTTTATTACTAGAAACTCAGTCGTCATTCTTTACCTATACTGCCCCTGCAGCATCACCATTTGTACTATAATTTGTATTTTAAATTTAGCAGCATAGATTCTTGTAGCTCAAGAACTTTTTCTTTCTTGGCATGGACAACATAATCCCAGCTAATTGGGAGGCTCAGGCGGGAAGAAAGCTAGTTTAAGGCCAATCTGGCCAATTTAGTGAGATACACATCTCAAAATTGAAAAAGAAAAGCTGGGGATGCAGCTCAGTGGGAGGGCTCTGGGTTCAAGCTGTGGTAGAGGAAGGGGGTGGTGGGTGGAGATACAACTCAGTGGCTTAACACTTGTCCAGCATGGGTAAGGCCCTGGTTTAAATCCCTAGTAGTGCAAAGAAAAAAAAATGTTGAAACATCCAATTCTGACCAAGACGGAGTAAGACATTGAATTTTCTTTCCCAGATGAAACTTATCAATTGATAAACAGAAAATAAAACAGTTGAAAGCTATTTTTAAGATACCTGAATGAAGGGAACCATGAAAGAAAGGACCTAGGTGTGTGTGGTGGCCCTGCAATCTCTCAGGTAGCTCCTGGAGTCTCAGAACCTGGGAGGCTGGTGAACCCTTAGATGATGGAGGTGGCCTAAGGATCCCAGAGATTGAGGTGGCTGCATCCTTTGTGGAACAAATGGACCAGAGATGAGCAACACAGAGAGCTCTGGAGGCACACTGAGTCCCCTCCCAGACAGCAGTCCTAATCAGTGCCCGCATGCATGAAAACCACAGGAGGCCAAGAACAGAACCACCCAAAAAGATTGCGGTGACAGAGCCTAAGCCCACACCAAGGTGGGAATGAACCTGTGTCCTCCAGGAAGACTGGAAACCTCTTCATCCCCAAGGCTGGGTACTCAGAAAAGTCTTGCTGCAACCACGAGGAAGAATTAACCTTAAACACTTCCCTAGTCCAGCCTAACAAATCTTACAGGAAGACCTAAAACTGTTTCCAAGGAGCTGCATCTCAGAACAAAGCTCAAAGATACATGGCCGGGTGGAGTGGCACACACTTGTAATTACAGCACTCTGGAGCCTGAGTCAGGAAGACTGCTGTAATATGAGGCCAGCCTGCATACTGAGATCCTGTCTCGAATAAATAAACAAGCAAACAAATAAAATAAGTGATCATGCATTTACTTCTTAGTGGCATCCCCTATTTCATATGAGATCCCAGGCTAACCTCGAACTCGCAGTGATCTTCCTGCCTCAGCCTCCCGAGTACTGGGACATCCCGGCTTTAAAACCCCTATTTATGTCAATTGAGGACTTAAATGTTTAAGTCCTGCAGTTAGACTTATTTACAGATACAGTTCTGTGAGTCTTGGTCTTTATATTTCAAAATTACCTCATTTTTGTATTCTCATGTTCCAAATTTATCTGTCCTGATTTCCTCCAGTTTGACGCTGACCGAAATGAGGATGAGGTGTTCTATGACATCAGCCTGGCCGTTGACAACAAGTTATTTCCAAACAAAGAGACTGCGGCAGGTAAGTCACAGCGTTCCAGGGGGTCAGTACACTGTGACCACCAACCAGCCACATGTCTGGGCTTTAATTAATGGGGAAAGCTGCATGGGCGGCTGTAAGTTTCATGGTGGCCTTAGCCTTAATGGCTGCATTCTTGCTGGCTTAAAAATAAAGGTACAAAACACAATACAGAGGGAGGACTATAAGTGATCCTTTCCTTGTTTCAAGCTTTTCTTCCTGTCATTGCAAACCTAAGTTACCAGGTCCTTACAACACAGTGTAAGGAGGGCCTACATTAAGATAATAGGAAAAAAGAAAAAAAAACAAACAAACAAATCTAACCTAACCATAATTTGGGCAATGATTAAAAGCCACAGTTCTAGCCAGTTGTGGTGGCTCATGGCTGACGGGATCCTGGGACAGGTTTCCAACTTCTTGTTCACGACAAATTAGATGTGGTACACAAGGTTAAGGAAAAAGCAGCTAAATTTAATTACGTTCAAAGGGTGAAGGTACCTCAGAGAGGGCAGGTGCATGCTGGTAGAAAGGAAATGGTCTAAGCACCGAAGGATTCGAAGTGTAGCGCTGTGCCTAGGGCGCCTCCCATTGGCTCTTCCAGAGCATGATTGACAGCTTTGCTGAAGGTGCTGAGTGGTGCCTGCTGTGTCTACTGCGCATGTCCTTTCCCATAATTCACTCTTATAATGGACGCTTGAGATGCAGTCAGTGGGGAGGAGCTCTTGAGGAGCTCCAAGTGAAGAAAGGTTACTGTCAGCCAGGCCGTGGAATTTCAGAAATTCCCAGGGATCTTTGTTATTCTTACCTCTGCCTGCTGGAAATGGGCCTTAGGACAAAGTTCGGGGAGCTGGCCTATGTTCAGGTGAGTGGAAGGGATTGGTCCCCCAGCCCCAAGTGCACAACCTAAATTAGGGCTGTAGTTCCTGCAGTATGGGATGCTAAGGCAGGCGGATAGCAAGTTTGAGCCCAGGTGGGTGACTTAGTGATTTAGGGAGGCAGTATTAGTCCCTTTCTCCTGGCTGATGCAATGCCTGACACCCACAGCTTAAAGCGGGAGAGGTTTATTTTGGCTCGCAGTTTTCAGACGATTCTGTTTATGGTTCGCTGACTCCGAGACAGAAACAGCAAAGCAGAGGGACAGGGAGGCAGAAGACTGCACTCCCTATGGCAGCCGGGAAGCACGGAGGGAAGGGAGGTGCTGGGACAAGCATTCACCTCTCCGGTCACCCCTGTAGTTACCGCCCCACCTAGGCCCCTTCTAAGGACACACTGTATGCTGCCCCTGGGCAGGCCCTCTAGGGAGGGGTCTAGTGGGGGATTTACAGGTCTGCACCACCCCACTGTGCTGGGTTTCACTTTTTGGGGCCATGATTCAGATAAAGGGTGAGGACTGAGAGAAGGATTTTATTTTATTTTTAAAATAAAGGTTTTATGAAGCACACTGTATTCAAATACACACACCCCTGAGGGAGTATACACTGTATCCTTTATGAGATCGCCCCTTCCCCAAGAGGGGATGTGTGTGTGTTTGTGTGAGTAACTTTGGGGCTCTCCGCCTATAGCCAACTCATACCCTTCTTTGCCTAAACCGGGGGTCCCAGCTCCCTCCACTTGGTGGCCCTCACCTGTCTCTTACACAGAGGCTACCTGGCCCAGATCTATAGCCCGCCCCACACCCCCTGGCTGAGTTTGGTGGCACTGATGTAGCATGGCCCCAGCCATATGGCTTGTGGGATCCAGTGATCCAGCACTGCCCTCGGAGCATTTGTGCCTTCAGACTGTCATTCCTGTGCCTTTGGATGTGGTGCAGTCTGCAGACCACACTCCGCTCCTCAGGTCTGGTCTCAGCTTTGACCTTCATCTGAGTCATGGATGGCATCAAAAGGTTTAAAACAGAAGATTCTGGGCTGTTGAAAAAAGGCTAAATACTTAACATTTTAAACCTCTATTTGAAGCCACCTAAGGCAGCTTCTTGGAATGCAGAATTTTAAGAAGGGCAAAGGTGTCTCCCTGGCTGAGTCATGGCACAGACAGCTGATGTGGACATGCCTGCAAGTCCTCCTGTGTTATTTACACAAGGTCCGCCTGTTGCGAGGAAGGTGGGGAATTGAGAACCAGGGATGATCTTATGAACAAGACCATTGCTCTGAAAAATGCTATGCTCCTGTGCTTTTTCAAGTTAATATTTTTTTATTTAGAATGTTCAGTACTTTAACACATACCTTCCCACTAGAAGCTCTCTGCTGGCTTGTACAGCTGATTGGCCCTTTACACATACCTCACTCAGAAACTCACTAGTAGCATTTCTGCAGTCCTGGTGAATGTTTAAATTTTTTAAAATCATTACAGTAAAAGACACATTGCCAGCTGGGCGTGGCGGTGCATGCCTGTAATCCCAGCCCTTGGGAGGCTGAGGCAGGAGGATCGCTGCAATTTCAAGACCAACCTGGGCTACATAGGGAGTTCCAGGTCAGTTTCAACTACATAGTGAGACCCTGTCTCAAAAAACCAAAAACAAGAAAAGAAGACGCATTGCCATTAATCCTCATACACTCCATCATTCTTGCTGTTTCTGGAAGTTCTCCTGTGAATGTCTTTACAAGGTGTGATTGAAAAAAAAAAAAAAAAAGTTCGAGTGCCATCGAAACAAAAGGCAGGCTCATAAAATGTGCCTGTGTGTCCTCTTCTGCCTTATTCACCGGATCTGGCACTGCATCTTCTGGCCCTTCCACAAAGTCACAAGGAGTGTGATGGGTAAATGTTTTAAATGGATTCAGGACATTGAGGCAGCCCCACCAAGTCCGACTAAAGACACTCAAGGAGAGAGGACTCCCAGACCTGCTTCAGAAAGTAGCAAGAACAGTGGAACTTGTGTGGGAAGCAAGGGGGAACATTTTGAGGGGATTGAAAGCAGTACGTCTTTTACTGTAGCAATTATTTTTATTGGAGTGCACCATATTTTTTTATCACACTCATAAATGTTGGTAACTCATCCAATTGACCTCTGCATATGAGTTGTCAGCCTCCAGGATTTGTCTCTTCTCTTCCCTTCTCTCTGAACCCTGCTGAATGTCAGCTGCCCCACAGCTCTCCTGTCACCTCCCTGGGAGGTAGCAGTTCTTTTCCTCTGCTCTGACCTTTCTCCAGAGAGCAGGCAGCACTATTCTCACGCTACACACCACCCCTCTTCCTTCACGGAGGCCCTGGGTAGTAGATCTTCCTGTCCGTTCCTACCACTCTCATCAGAGGCTTTGTCACCCTCCCTCTGTCCTCTCTTGTCTGTTAGGGACCCTACTTCAGGCCTTTGCCCCTGCTCTTCCAGTCACTTAGGAAGCCCTTTCCTTTTTGTCCCCTCCCAGGACTGCAGCCTCCTCCCTCACTGGCCACGTCCAACTTTGTGCCTCTGGGTGAAGGTGACCTGCTCACCCACCATCTCCGTCTAGGGAGGTTCTGGCACCATAGCACCTGGCATCATGCTACCCTGTGCTTCTCCTCCCAGCCAGTTAGTGTGTATCACAATCATGATTCCACAGGCAGCCATGGAAGGGTTCTTTGTTAAGTATCTGTTTCCCATATAAAGCACAAGACTCCCTGCAGATGGGGAGGAGAGAGAGAGAGAGAGAGAGAGAGAGAGAGAGAGTGTGTGTGTTTGTGGTGATGCCCGGTGAGAATTTTATCGAAGATGTTGCGATGGCTCCTCCCTGCAGCCTCTCTTAGGAGAGGTGATAGTGCCTACCCCACAGGATTGTTGGAAGGGTAATCGGTGTCCTTGTATAAAGTATGACTGTCATGTTGGAAAGGCCATATATGAGTTACCACCTTTGCTAAGGACTTAAAGGCTCACAGGGAGCAACCACATCTTACACAGCTCTCCCTCCATTTCTTAGGCTTGCTTCTACTCCCTTCTCCCTCCCTCAAACCCCATCCTGGAGTAACTGAAAAATCCCCTTTTGCTCACTCAGGACAGGCCCTCGAGAGCTCACCTTATCACCCCAAACACTGTTGGGAGATTTTTTTATCCAGTAAATCCAGGGCTCTTCCTCAGAGGGATCCTGACACAAACTGTTACCAAGACTTTCCATGCCTGGTGAGATCAGAGCAGGATTCTCAGTGCCAAAGGTAGATTGGGAACTTAGAGAAGGAGATACTTAATGTTTGTAGAGTGAGTGAGCAGGTTAAGATATAAATGTCTTCCATTTCTTTTCAGTCATTCCGCATACATATATATAGTGAATGTATTGGGCTTCAAAGTTGTGTTTTTAGATCCAGGAATGAAACACAGCCCTACCATTACAGACCAGCTTAATGGGAATAGGGACAAGATAGCAAATGCTTTCTTTAATGGAGAAAGATAAAGGGTTGGAGGAGTTTTATTTTCCTTTGACCTTCACTTTTCAAGAAGCCTTATATCAGAGTGTCCCTGTATTTGAAAGGGAGAGAGAGGAGGCTGTTCCTCAAACTCTACATTGAAGATCCACTAGAAAGAAAGCATGTGTCAGTATTGCCCAGAAAGCGATGTGGTGAGACTCTAGTACCTCCAGTGCCAATCCATGACATCTTCACCTTTAAATTAAAGGAGACAATGAAATAATATTTCTCTGAAGCCTACACTACATCCAAAACTAGTGGCACTGAGTGTTCCCTGTGGGGCGCTACATTTCAGCTCAGACCTTTCTCTGGTATCTATAGAAAGGATATTTTTAAGTCTGAAAAGAAATTGAGAAATTCAAAATAGACATGAAAGCAACACCACTTTTTCAGAATGTTCTGCTGTCTTTTTTTAAAGTAACAAAGTCCTTGTTGTCTTAGGTGCTTTGTCCACTGAAGAAAGCAAAAATGTGTACATCTTCCTGTGTTTACCTCCCTATTTCCCTTGCTAAACCTTGGACTATTATTAAAGGTACCATTTTCAGTAAACCAAGCAACCAGTGAAAAAAGAAAAAGAAAGCTCCTCAGTCATTCTCTGAGCTGATAATGATATCCTTTATCTATCACCTCCTGTGAAATATTAATAATCCTGTTGCCAGGAGCAACAGTGTGTCAAATTCCATCCCTTAATGATAGAATAAAATTTCTGTTAAAAGCACTTGACTAGGAAATCCAGTCTCCTCTGCCTTCTAAGCAAGAAATTTATGTTTTAACAAAAGAATCTTTTCATTCTGTCATTCCTGAAAATAATTTTCTAATAATGTTGCTCCCATTTCAATATCAGTGTGAAATACCTGTTAACTAGGTTGTTTAAGAGCCTTTAAGAGCATGGTACCTTTGGAAACAATTGAAAGAACAGTTTCCTATTAAATAAGTAGGACCGTGGAACCAACAGCAGCTCTATGTTTAATAGGATTCTGTGTTCACATCGTGTTGCTCAAGCCACATGAATTGCCCCAAGTAGAGCTGGGAAGAGGGTAGGGTTTGAACCCACATGGTTACCACCACTGCACTGGCTAACAGTAGACAATATCCATATATATACATAATGAAAGCTAAATCAGATCTTCATTACCTTTCATGATCTGTCAGTAGTAGCCACTCAGAAAAGAATACTGTCACCAGCTTGAGTGAGACTCCTTGATCCTCATCCGATTCTTCTTTGTCCCCAGCCACCTCTGATCCACTGCTCCATAAGCCTTTTGCTCATTTTCTCAGCGTTCAGTGTAGACAGCGCCCCCTCCAGGTCTCCTCCTGTAGAGTACTATAGAGAAAAGCAATACTATAATGAAACCATTTGGATTCCTCCTGCTTAGAATCTGGAGTAAGCAGAGTATGTTGGAAGAAAGAGGAGCTACAGGCTCTCTCTTGGACCTAACACTTTGTGCATGGGCTTTCGTCCGTGATACAGAACACAGTGCAGCAAGGGCTGCCCTGTGCTGTGACAGGCACCACCCGGAGTTGTCCTGAGCGCACCTGGGAACTGCACCTGCCAACTCGATGGTTCATTACTTTTCCAGGATGATTTTATGGCACAAGTGTGCCTCCATTTTGGAAAACTTTATCATGCTTTAAAAACAAAGACACAAACATAGAAATGGTGACACTGCTCGGTACTTAGTTTGGTGATGGCTTGTACTTAATCACTGTGGAGGACACAGGGATGGTAATAAGAAGAGTTGGGATGAGAGAAGTCGGGAGGACACACCTTGAGCTTTGTGTTGGAAGAGTGTGAGGCCTGTCTCTGCAACCCATACACATCTGAAAAGCGTCTGGTGTGCATGATTGTTTTAAAATCTGCCTTCACTGATCATTACTTATTTCCTCTACTCACAAAGAATTATTTGGCAAGACCAGGTTAACAGTGAAACACGAAGTGGTTTATTATTTCAGAGGATGTCTTCCTGACTAGTTAGGTGAGGTATATTTACCAGTAGGAAAGAATTGCTAAATGAGAACCACAGATCAATTGTGGACTTAGAAGTGTTCATGAACTGTGACAGGACAACGCAGACCTTCGTGGGAGGTGGTTTGCTTTAGAAGCACGTAGACAACTTTCATCAGGCAATCTTGTCTTTCCCCAACTTAGGTTCAGGGGACCTTGACCCTTCCATGGTGTTGGACCCTGGAGACATCACTGATCCAGGATCTGATTATGAAGACCAGGTAATTAAAATTGAGAAATGTTTCTCTACTTGGATTTATAATTTTAGATTTTGTAAATGTTTTATGAAAATTAAAATTATTAATCATTGTGTGAAATCTTTACAGATAACTGATAACAGTTCGTGAAACATTGTAGTAGCCTACAGATTTCTTGCACTGTTTGGCTCTTTATCTTTCCCTTATTCACAGATACAAAATTAATTAATTAACAGTTAATTGCTGGGTGTGGTGGTGCACACCTGTCATCCCAGCACTCTGGAGGCTGAGGCAGGAGGATCATCATGAGTCCAAGCCCAGCCTGGGTTACAAAGAGTGTTCACGGCCTGCGAGATCCTATCTCAAAAAACACCATTAGAAAAACAGTTGATCAGATAATTAAAGAAAGGTTTGTGGTCAAAAATTACTTGTACAGTCTTGTCTAAGAATTTGCTGTGTCTCTTGTCTTTCCCACTAGTAAACCAAGAATATGTACTGAGCATCAGCTACTCATCAGGTCTTTGCTATTTCTATTTCTAACCCTTGGAAGGGAATGAGTATCAGGGAGATCACAGCCAGGGAGTTAAATATATGTCCTCTTTGATTAAAACTGAAGAAATCTATCTAGGTCATTTTCCTCTCTCTGCTGTTATGTTTTAATGACCCAGAATAGTTGGCAAACGATCCACTCCCCACTTAGTCTGTATTGTTAAACATTGCTAAAACCTCCATCCCATTATTAGTGCTCCTCAGCCATGGCTGTCAGCCAAGCTGACTCTTATGAGGGGTTTGGTTGCCACCGTCAACTCAGGCGTGTCACAAGCAGATGTGACCAATGTCCATACATCGTGGCTGGTGATACATTTCATATACATATTCAGAAACTGTTTTATAAGCATTGAGTGTCCGCCTTCTTCTGTCACAAAACAAGAAGAGGATAAAAGCTAGGGCTGGGGCTAGCTCAGTGGCAGAGTGCTAGCACAGCATGCATGAGCTTGATTCCTGGGCCTGCAGAAATAGAAAAACCAAAAGAGATAGAGCCAGAGCCAGAGATCACACTCAGCTGTGTGACTTCAGTCAGAGCCAGGGGCAGGAACTGATGGGAACTTTCAGAGCTTTCAGTGATAACAAACAGCTGGGGGCGGGGATTTGGCTCAGTGGTTCTGCCGCCTGCCTCGCAAACACAAGGGCCAGAGTTCAATCCCCAGTAACCACCCCCCACCTGCCCCAAAAAAAAGCAAAATCAGTAGATTTCTCTAGGGCCAGGGATTTGGCTCAGTGGTTCCACCGCCTGCCTCACAAGTGTAAAGTCCCGAGTTCAATCCTCAGTATGGAAAAAAACAAAAAAACAGCTGGTTATGATGAACATGCCGTTTCACCACCACTGTGTTGGTGTTCTCTGGTGGGGTAGGGACCAGCAGTTTTCCGGGTTCTTACTTCCCCCAACCAATTCATTGATGGACAGTTGGTGGATGTGAAAGATTACCATTTATTTTAGGACAGAAGTCAGAACAGGAAAAGGGGGAAGCAGCACAAAAGAAGTACCCTGGGAGAAAAGGGTACTTGGAAGGAAAAGGAGAGACGCATCCTGCAAGTGGAATAGGTTGCTCCAAGAACAAGAGGGCGGTGACCCCAAAGTTATTATTGGCATCTTTTTAGGGCTTCCTTGATAGTTGATCCAGGTGTTCCCCCTTGGTCTCGGGCTAGAAAATTGACATCAGTGCCAGGTTCGACGTGTTGTTATCAAAAGATTGGTACCAGGTGCAGGGCTCAGTTTGATCCCATGTCACGCTCGGCTGTTGCCACTTTGTACTTGTGGTTAATAAATCTTAACTGGTAGCTCGTGCCCTGCTTCTCCAGCCATGCTGCCGTGCCCTAGCCTCCTGCTACCTGGGGGTGATGCATAAAACTCAGACTCTGAGTGCTTTCTTTCCAGAGGTCCTGTTTTGTTTTAGGTACTAGGCATTGAATCCAGGGCCTTTGCCCTGAGCTACATCCCCAGCCCTTTTTAATTATATTTTTATTTTTGAAACAGGGTCTCACTCATTCACTGAGTTACCCAGCCTGGGTTCAAACTTGCACTCCCCCTGGTTCAGCCTCCCAGAAGGCTGGGATTATGGGCATGTACCACCTCACCCAGCTGTGTCCTTTTATAAGGAACCTCCAAAAGGATCATGGAAGATACCCCATGTTCATTTGCTTGTGACCTCTTTACATTTGAATGTGATCTCATCTCACATCCTGGCCACTGGCTCTACGTGGATGCCAGGAAGTGGAAAATGGAGCTTTTTTGTGTGCCCAGAAAGGGGAAAGTGACCAGCCTCAGCCACAAACTCCTGTCTACTCTGACCACAGGCTACAGCACCACCCTCTGCGTGGTCACACTCTCCTACTGTCTTCACTTATTTGTGAATGCCTTCCTGGTCCATTATTGAAACATGAGCAACCCCCAACATCAACAGTGGTCCCTCTCTCCTCACCACATGCTTTGTCCTTTGAGCAGCTTGAAAGAGCCATGGTTTCGGCTTCCTAGATCTCCTCGGAGAGCTCTTGTTGCACGTGTCTGTCTGCTAAACAGCACTGGCTGGATTTCCCATATACATGCCCCACAGTGTGTCCAAAACCTAGTTCACCATCTTCCCCCACAAAATCTGCTCTTCCTTCTGTCTTCTCTGTTTTCTGAATGATCACCATCTGTCCAGCTGCCCGAACCAGGAGCAGGGTGTGTTCCAGCCTCCTCCTTTCTCTCGTTCCATCATCTTGGTCAGGAAGCTCGTCAGCTCTCGTAGGCAGGAATGGGTCCCTCCTCTCCTGTTCCACGGCCCCTGCCTGGTTCATGTCCTCCGTCTCCCTCCCTGGGACCGCATGGACAACCTCCTAACCCATCTCCCTGCTGCAGGTGTCTCATCTGCCAGCAAGATCTTTGTGCAATCAGTTCCGTCATGGTGATGTGCTGCTTAGACTCTTCCTGGCTTCTCACTGATTTCACAGTTAAATCGGAATCTGTAAGAGTGACATGTGGAAACTTCCAAATCCAAATCAGACCTCTTCATTCCTCTCTAGACTCATCCCTTCCCAATCAGCAGAACACCCTGACTGCTTCAGCCATGCCAAGCCATGTGCCCTTCCTTCCAGCGGGCTATATTGAGGGTCCTTTCCCTCTGAAGGGAAACTTCCGGCCCCCATTTCCTCCATCCCAGACAGTCTGCACTCATGCACCATGGGGCCAGTGACTCCTCTGGAAGTTGTTCTCCTGTTACTCGTTCACCTTCCCCAGGGACCCACCATACCTGTGTTGTAATACGGGACTGCTTTCAACGGACTGCACCCCACTCTGTGTGACATCAGTGCCTGGAATGTGGCATGTGCTTAAGGAATGCCCACCATTTTAAAGTCCAAGACAGTGAATTCTTTTTCATATGAGCGATTGTGGGGGGATGATTTCTAAATCTCTTCTGAGCCTCAGTTTCTTCTTCTAGGAAATATAACCCTGCTTAGAAGAACTGCTGTTCAAGGTAGAGAGTGCAAGGTACCTTGTGTGGGACAAATGCTTAAAAGCAGGAGTCCTTGGCAGGGAGGTGGATCTTCTGCAAATGGGAAGGGGACCAAGAGACAGAGGGAAGGAGGAAGGAGGGGAAAAGGGGATGCAGAAAGACTTGAGGTGTGTTTCAAGCATGCACCAACTCCCCACGAGGGACGTAATCATTCTGTACTACAGACATGGACTAATAGAAAAGGTTAAAAAAAAAGGAGTCTTCCCTTCTTCCCCGCAGGCCTGAGTTCCCCTGGACTTCTCAGGCATCAGGCTCTTCCAGAGCTGGCTTCTTTTTTTTTTTAACTAATTTTATTTTTATTTTTTATTAGTACCTATTTATGGTACATAATGATTACATTCATTATGGGGCCATCACAAGGACATCCCACATCTTAATTTGTGTTTTGTTTTGTTTTGTTTTGTTTCAATCCCCTAACCCTCCCATCCCTCCCTGCTCCTTCCAACTTGGTCCTCTTCCTATGTGCAAAACCTCTATTTTAACTTCTTCAGATCTTTTTTCATTCCCTTTTATTCCCCTCCCACCCTCTCCCTCCATCTCTTGTTCCTCCATCCATTTGAAAAAGATCTCCCTACTTCTTTCACATATATTTTTTTCTCTCATGTTAGAAATTGCAATACCAAAGTTGATTTATTTCACTCAACATTTCGGTCTCAAAGTACATCCGTTTTCCTACATGTGATTCCTTTCTTATGACAGAGTAGTACTCCATTGTGTATAAATACATTTTCTTTATCCATTCGTCTGTCGATGGGTATATAGGCCCATCACTGACCTCTTCAGCTAAGTCTGAGCTACAGTTTCTAGGCTGTCAGATGAAGAGCTTGAAGGTTACTACTCTTTCCTAACAGCAACAAAGAAGCTCAACAAACTGAAAAATCAACCTTCTTAACACTCATCAGAGAAGTAAGGTCATAGGACCAAAACTACACCAAAACTTGAAGAGACAGACAGGCAAATCCAGAAAATCACAACTTAACCTCACAGGAACCCGCATAGGAACCAGGGGGTGGGGCATGGAACAATTACAGTTGCTGGGGCTTGGTGTAGATGAGTCTAAGAGTTGAAACTCCAGAGGGACTGAGGCTCAGGTCCCTCAGAAGGACCTTCCAGGAAGGTCCCCACACCTTTGTGACCATCACTGCACAAAGAGAGTGATCCAGAAAGTGACACTGAATATCAGGAAAAATCCCCCCAGACTTCTGGAAGGGGAGGAGGACCACTTTGAAGTATGCCAGGCATTCTGTTCTTCTTAAAAGACCTGAAGAAACTATTCTGTCAGAGCCTGACCACCTGGAGGAGTGAAAAATGCCCAACACCATCCCCATCTAGCCATCCTGTCTCACCTAAAGGGATAAAAAACAAGAATCACCAGTGAAGGTCATAGTTTGTGACCCAGGCTCACTGAAAGGCTGAGATGAAGTCCTAGGACAGTAGAACGGCCCTGTCACTGAAATTCCTTTTCCCATG